ACTGAGAAATTTAATAAGGACATAAAGCAGCATGACAGGGGTCTGGAACAATAATAATGCTTGTTAAGCACATTCTGCTGGTAACAGTAAATTCTAAAATGTATGTGGCTTAACAATTAAGATTTTCCCCCTCATACATCAAGTCTAGATGATATTCCTGATGGGCAGGGGGCTCTCCTTCAAGAGTGATTCAGGAAAATAGTCATTTTTCATCTTGAACAGGTCACTTCCAAGATCACCTACTTAGGAATATTACAAATGTGAGATTTTTATGGTCAGGAAATAACAAATATATCACTTCTGCTCAGACGCAACTGGCTAGATCTCAGTTTAAATGCCCAGCCAACTGCCAGGGAGGCTGGGAAATGTAGCCTGGCTGCATAGAAGGAAGAAAATGTGTTTGGCAACCTCTTCTACCACAGTTAAGAGATGTTGGAAAATTTTAGGGAATGAAAGTAGAGTGAGCATATGTGTTCTATTCATAACTGCTAGTTAGATGAGAAATAATTGAGTTAATTCTTGTTACAGCAACTGAGAAAGGTGAAACATTAGTCAAAGAATTCACCTGAGTTTCTTTAATATAATAGTCACATTAAAGAAGTCTACACTTTGTAATTTCATGTATTACATAACGCGATGATCTTTTTTACAGAGAATTAAAATATCCTTTCATCAATAAGGGAAGTTGTAAACTTATTTTCTCATTGTAGCTAAGGATACTTGTAAATTTAGTAAAATCTTTTTGAATGATTACCTTTGTACCCAACATTCTAAGTCAGGGTTGGTGGAATAAACCTAAAGTCCATGGTCTTTTAGCAAAAAGGTTATGGTAGATGTTTATGGTGAATCTTTATAAATGTGGCTCTTACCTGTTTTTCAAAATATAATTATCACATTTTAGCCTAAATTCTGCCTCTCTTGGCCATTAAGTGATAAGTTCACTAGATACATCCACAATTTATACTCATCAGTGACATTCTTAGGCCAAACAAAAGAGGTCATCTAACTCACTTTTCGTCCTTTAGGTAATTTACTCAGGTCCCATTATCTGACATCTAAGTCAAGTTAATGAGAAAAAAAAACCAACAATATAAATCCCAGTAGTTTGGAGGTGAATTAAAAAGCTCCCAAATCAGTACTTCCCTCAAATGTTAAATAATTCACTGTGGCATTATAGATACAAGCCTCCAGCAAAAGCTACACTTGAACAATTAAGGAAGCAGGAGCCAAACAAATGACTTCAGGGATAAAGAAACAAATTAATGATTTCTTAGAGTACGATACCAAATCACATTTTCACATTAACAAGTGTGTAAAACACTCAAGCATCACCAATGATTTACTAGATCAAGTTTGATTACAGAAAATAGCCTGGAACCACACACCAGGAGTATTCCCTAAGTATAATTGTGGATTTTATGCACTTGGGTATGAAACCCAATTATGTTATTTGGAAAAATTTTACAGCTATTCCTTGACTTACAATGGGGTTACATCCTGATAAACCCATCCTAAATTTAAAATATTTTAAACTGAAAATGCTGACTGGGAGCTATGGCTAACTGCTGAGAATCAGTTAATACGAGAGCGTGTTATACTGTGGTTTCTACTGAATGCATATTGCTTTCACATCATTGTAAAGTCAAAAAAAAAAAAAATAGTAAGGGAAACTACCATAAGTCAGAAAGTGTCTGTACATTCATAATGTACCACATACACTTTTGCAAGGTTCTTTTACAATTGTTCATATTATAAAGACCATCTACCAAGTTCATTATGCTATGAAGATTAGAAGTGAATACAGCTGTTTCTTAGAAGACTGATAAGAAATCTGAAACATGAGGTCATAACACAGTGCTCTGTGTACATACAAGGTAATAGCACCTGCACAGTGGAAATAATACAAAATATTTTAATCCAGCTTTGAATCAGAAAATGACTGGGAGTAAAACAAGGATTTAAATACCAACTCTATTACTTTCTTCCTAGAGAATTTTTAAAAAAGTCTTCATCTTAATATTATTTTTCAAGACATACTTAGAATACTAGGATCCTTTCTGGTATACTAATTTAATGGCTAATCTAATATACAAGGGAAATAAATTATTTGAATCAGACAATACAGGCAATAGGGAATCAAAAAAAAAAAAAAAAAAACACATGGGATAGGGAAGGAAGAGAATAACAGCCTCAACTTTGCTTGCTAGTTATGTCACCTGAAAAAGTGTCAAGATTTTTCAATGTTAGTTTTCTTACGAGTAAAATACAGTTGACCCTTGAGTAACACGGGTTTGAACTGCATGGGTCCATATTTTCTTGTAAACAGACAAAACCCATAGTATCAATAAATATAGTAGTACAAATGTGTTTTCTCTTCCTAATTATTTTCTTTTTTTTTTTTAATAGAGGCATGTTTTATTTATTTATTTATTTATTTGTTCGTTTTGTTTTTGTTTATACATGCACTGGGTACAGTCAGAAGCGCGGGAGGGTGAGAGAATTCACTAGAGCCAGAGCAAGGGAGCAGAGCAGGCAGAAGGACCGAAGTACACTGCTGAGGGGAGCAGCGGGCGGCAGGAGAGGTCTGTGCGCCATGTGGGACCCTCCTCTGGTGGCCGGGGAGCAGCCGGGAATCGAACCAGCACTGCAGAGGCTGCGGGCAGCTTCGCAACCCAGCACTCAACCGCTGCGCCACCGGGGAGGCCCCCTAATTATTTTCTTAATACCATTTTCCTTTTTTTTTTAGCTCATATATGTAAGAATACTGCATATAATACCTATAACATACAAGAATGTGTTCATCAACTGTTATTGATATAGCTTCTGGTCAACAGTAGGCTATTAGTAGTTAAGTTTGGGGGGAGTAAAAAGTTATACATGAATTTCCATTTTTGAATGTGTGGGAGTCAGCATCCCTAACCCCTGTGTTGTCAAGGGTCAACTGTAAGTATAATGACATCTCTACCTACAGTATTATTATAAGGATCAAGTGGAATAACTGTCAATAAAATGATCAGTAACCTAGAAAGCATTAAATAAATATAAATTGTTTCAGAGTGAATAGGAACTGAAAATGATATAGATGTATCAAAGACTTGCAAAGTTGCTTTCCAGTGTTTCAAGATACATTATAACCCTTTTTTGCTACACTAATTTGATGGATAGTCTAATCTTCAAGTGTAACAGAGACTTATTTGAGTTGAGACTCTAACTGTAGTTCTCTTTCTCCCAAATTTCAAGGATTTTTTTTTTTCTTGATTCCATATTGCCTTTAAAGTCTGATTTATGATATCCCTTCAACTGAATATACTGGTTTGGATAAATGGTTAAAAGTTTGCAAAATTATTTTCAGTTTGGTTGATTTTGATTTTTACTTTGTATTGCTTAGTCTTTTTCCTGGTCTCTTACATTTAGGTTTTCTAAATTCCTGTTATGAGTGAGACCATCAGTATTTTTCTTTCTCTTTCTGGCTTATTTCGCTGAGCATGATCCCTTCCAGCTCCATCCATGTTGCTGCAAACTGCATGTGTTTATCTTTTTTGATTGCTGAGTTCATTGTGCAAAGATGAAAACAGATGTAAGAATTATATAAAATAAAATATTTTAAAAATTGGGGCAATAAGTCACATTATCAGAATTTTATAGAAAGAATTTAACATGCCACTGAATATATATTTTCTTCCAAGGCAAAAAAAAAAAGTTTGCAAAATTATCCTGGCTGAAAGAAAAGTCATTTGCAGTTACAAAGTAATAATCTTTGTTTACTTGTTAATGAGCAAGAATCACTGGACTTTATGTCTGGCAAGCAACAGTCATCCCTAAATACTATAGCAGAAGAAAACATTTATGGATTACTTGCTAGGAATTTTTAAAAATCTAAGATGTGGACTGATTTTTAAATTAAAATCAATAAAGTCAATTAGCCATAATTCAAAGTGTCTAGAAATGCTGCTTTTTGTGAAGGAAATTTTCTAATCACTCATGTTTTTAGGGTGGTTTTAGTTTCATGTGCCAGAGTCCACCTGAAGATTGTTACTTCTATATAGGCTTTAATACAGGTGTCAAGCACAAAGCTAAGATTAAAATTACTGGTGATATCCTGTTACTAACAAATGCAGTGATTTTTTTTTTTTACAGCAAGCTTTTTATATGCAGCAAAAATGACTAATACCTTCTCATAAATCTATTTCTTAATCAGAATGTGTGGGATGTAAAATTTTCTTATTTCAATAACTTGAGTAAAAGCCTCTTTTCCATAAAAATAAGCAAAATTAAATAAATGATATAGCACTGAAGTAGACTACTTCCAAAAGTGCAGCTCATCATTATTTATACAATGAAGTATTTATACATCATTATTTAAACTATTTGAGTAGATTTAAAAATCATAAATCCTGGACTAAGTAATACTAAGAGATACAATGATACTATGAGAAGGGAAAAGAATGGTGATGAGAATTTCAAATGCCCAAGGTAGAAATGAATGTACCACACTAATGTATATGCAATCCACCAGAGTTAAGTATGGAGCAGTTGAAATTATCAAACTTGATGAGAATAATAAAAAATCCATTTTTTAACCTAACAAAATATTTTAATCTACCTTTGAACCAGAGTATGACAAAGTACTAAAGAGTGATTTTTTTCTTTTTTTTTTTAAAGATATATTTATTTAGGCATACAAGAACTGAGATACAAGCCAGAGGTGTGGGAGGTGAAAGGATTCACCGGAGACAGAATGGGGAGCAGAACAGGCAGATCTACTGAAATACACTGCTGAGGGGAGCAGCGGGTGAGACAGGAGAGGTCTGCTGCACCATGTGGGTAGCTCCCTGGCTGGGGATCGAACTCATGCTGCAGTGGCTGCGGATAGCTTCATAGGTTGCGTCTTATCCCCTTGCACCACCAGGGAGGCCCTAAACAGTTATTTCTACTAACTACTATTCAGTAAAAGAAAACACAATTTAGAGAGCAAAGTCAAAGGACTAATTTCCTCTTACCATGAATAGATCCCACTGACCATGTCATAGTTCTGACATGAAGCATTCAAACTGTTGGGCCCCGCTGCTTTAGAAATAAGTAGCACCACCAAGCCTCTCAACTGGAGGCTATTCCGGCTGTCATAGACAAGTCCCCTGTCAAAAAGGAAAAAAAGAGGATTAATATACTATCACAGGATGAGTCAGATTAAGTTAGAAAATTGTTGCAAGTACACCCATACTTCCATAATCAGACGAGATTCCATTTCTTTTAACAGGATTGGGGAGAGAAAGGGTTAATAGGAGGAAGCAATGAGTTTAGGAAACAACTGGAGAAACCAACAGCTGGTTTTAAAAGTGAAATCCTATTTTTATTCCTCTCTCTCCCCCACCCCTGCAGAATGCCTCTGATTTATAGTTGCCTGTTAATTTTGGTTTTTTATTTATTATTATCTTTTTTCTTAATACCTTATTTGGTTCCCCTATAGTCCTCCTATAAATGAAGCCATCTAATATTTTTCTTTTTCTTTCTGGCTTATTTCACTGAGCATAATCTCTCCAGCTCCATCCATGTTGCTATGAATGGTATGAGTTTATCTTTATTGATTGCTGAATAGTATTCCATGGTGTATATTTATCACATCTTCTTGATCCAGTCATCTATTTTTGGGCATTTGGGTTGTTTCTATATCTTACCTAATGTAAATAGTGCTGCTATAAATATAGGGGTGCTGGAATCCTTTTGAATTAATGTTTTTGTATCATTTGGGTAGATTCCTAGGAGTGGAATTGCTGGGTCATATGGTAGCTCCATTTTAGTCATTTGAGGAAGCTCCACACATCTTTCCATAGTGGTTGGACCAATTTGCATTCCCACCAGCAATGTAGGAGAATTCCTTTTTTCCACATACTTACCAACATTTGTTGTTGCTAGTTTTTTTAATATGTGCCATTCTCACTGGTGTAAAGTGGTATCTCATTGTGGTTTTAATTTGCATTTTCCTGATTATGAGGGATGTTGAACATTTTCTCATACACCTATTGGCCACTTGCGTTTCCTCTTTGGAGAAGTGTCTTTTTAGCTCTTCTGCCCATTTTTTGATGGATTGTTTACTTTGTTTTTGTTGAGTTATGTCAGCTCTTTGTAGATCTTTGTGCTCAGTCCCTTATCAGTTAGATGGAGTGCAAAAATTTTCCCCCACTCAGTAGGGTGTCTCTGTGTTTTGGTTAATGTTTTTTTTTTTGTTTTTTTTTTTTTTGCTATACAGAAGATTTTTAGCTTGATGTAATTCCAGTTGTTTATCTTTCCCTTCACTTGCTTTGCTTTGGGGCATGAGCCTTTAAAGATATTAGTAAGATGACACTCCCAGATTTCAGGCTATACTACAAAGCCATAATCATCAAAACTGCATGGTATTGGAACAAGAACAGACATACAGACCAATGGAATCGAATAGAAAATCCAGAAATAAACCCACAGATTTATGGTCAACTAATCTTTGACAAAGGAGCAAAGACTATGCATTGGAGCAAAGAAAGTTTGTTCAATAAATGGTGCTGGGAAAACTGGGTTGCTACATGCAAAAGAATGAAGCTTGACCACCACCTCACACCATACACAAAAATCAACTCAAAATGGATTAAAGAACTAGACATAAGACCTGAAACCATAAAATACATAGAAGGAAATATAGGTGAAACACTACATGACATGCACATCAAAGACATCTTTACAGACACATCACCCAAGCAGTGATAGTGAAGGCAAAGATCAACAGCTGGGACTACATCAAATTAAAGAGCTTCTGCACAGCAAAAGAGACAATAACAAAAACAAAGAGAAACCCCACTGACTGGGAGAACATTTTTGCACCCAACACTAATGATAAAGGACTGATCACAAAAATCTGCAAAGAGCTGATGAGACTCAACAACAACAAAGAAAATAACCCAGTCAAAAAATGGGCAGAAGAGCTAAAAAGAAACTTCTCTGAAGAGGAAATGCAAATGGCCAACAGGCATATGAAAAAATGTTCAACATCACTTGTAATCAGGGAAATGCAAATCAAAACTACCATGAGATACCATCTTACACCAGTGAGAATGGCACATATTAAAAAAACTAGCAACAACAAATGTTGGAGAGGATGTGGAGAAACAGGAACTCTCCTGCACTGCTGGTGGGAGTGCAAACTGGTCCAACCACTATAGAGAGCTGTGTGGAGATTTCTGGACCTACTAAACATAGAGCTTCCATATGATCCAGCAATTCCGCTCCTAGGTATTTACCCAAAGGACACAGAAACATCAATTCCAAAGAGCACCTGCACCCCTATGTTTATAGCAGCACTGTTTACAATAGCTAAGCTTTAGAAACAGCCCAAATGCCCAAAAATAGATGACTGGATCAAGAAGATGTGGTACATATACACCATGGAATATTACTCAGCATTCAAAAAAGATAAACACATGCAATTTGCAGCAACATGGATGGCACTGGAAGGGATCATCCTCAGTGAAATAAGCCAAAAAGAAAAAGAAAAATACCGGATGGTCTCACCCATAGCAAGAATCTAGAAAACTTAAATAAGGGACCAGGAAAATGAATAACTATAAGAAAGTGAAAATCAAAATCAACAAAAAACTATGAGCCAGAGACACTTTTTGGGGGGTGGGGGGCGGGAGGGGAGGGATTGGGGTCAGAATGGGGGGGTTGCAATTGTATGGGGAATATAAAAATAAAATTTATTATAAATAAAAAAAATTAAAAAATTAAAAAAAAGAAGTATAAAACCACAAAAAAAGAGATATTAGTAAGATGTATGTCATGTAGTGTTTTACCTATATTTTCTTCTATATATTTTATGGCTTCAGGTCTTATGTTCAATTTTTATCCATGTGGAGTTGGTTTTTTTTTTTTTTTTATAGAGGCATGCTTTATTTATTTGTTTGCTGGTTTGTTTGTTTGTTTTGTTTATACATGCACTGGGTACAGTCAGAAGCGCGGGAGGGTGAGAGAATTCACCAGAGCCAGAGCGGGGAGCAGAGCAGGCAGAAGGACCGAAGTACACTGCTGAGGGAGCAGTGGGCGGCAGGAGAGGTCTGCACGCCATGTGGGACCCTCCTCTGGTGGCCGGGGAGCAGCCGGGGATCGAACCGGCGCCGCAGAGGCCGCGGGCAGCTTCGCAACCCAGCGCTCAACCGCTGCGCCACCGGGGAGGCCCTGGAGTTGGTTTTTGTACATGGTATGAGGTAGTAGACTAATTGCATTCTTTTGCATGTGATGGTCCAGTTTTCCTGGCACCATTTTTGAACAAACTGTCCTTGTTCCATCAAAACAGGGGTGGGAAGAGCACAAGGGACTATGGTGATGGTACACGAGTGAATTGGTGGTGGGAATTTTACAGGGACTACACCAGAAAGGAGAAAGCAAACATAAAAATGAACAATTATGTAAAATAAATATAAATAAATTTAAAAAAAGTGAAGTCCTAAATTGTGAAGCTTGATGATCAGTCTTACTCCTCTCTCTAGGTTTCCCACGGTCTATGCCTTATCTCACAGTCTTAACTGTCTGTTCTAAAAATAAGAGGTACCAATAGTTTTAAAATGCTTACTTGAGGTAGTTGATAGCTATTGAGATATAAATTGTCTACCTTCGATGAAGTAATATTATTTGGTGATGATTGAGTTAAGAGAGAGCGATGAAAAATTATTTCTGTCTTCATAGGGACAGCTCAGAGAATTAAAGGATTAAACCAAATCTAAATGTTTTAAAATTTTGAGGGTATGTGAATGGAGATTTTGGCCCCTGAGTGGTAGAGTGGGGGGCTCGTGCCAGGTTGTTCTCCTTTTGGCTGTCATATTAGGGGTGCCCCCCACCTCAGTTGGATATTTGGTTTTTGGTTTTTGTTTTTTATAGAGGCATGTTTTTATTTATTTATTTGTTTGTTTGTTTGTTTTTGTTTATACATGCACTGGGTACAGTCAGAAGCGCCAGAGGGTGAGAGAATTCACCAGAGCCAGAGCAGGGAGCAGAGCAGGCAGAAGGACCGAAGTACACTGCTGAGGGGAGCAGCGGGCGGCAGGAGAGGTCTGCGCGCCATGTGGGACCCTCCTCCGGTGGCCGGGGAGCAGCCGGGGATCGAACCGGTGCCGCAGAGGTCGCCGGCAGCTTTGCAACCCAGCGCTCAACCACTGCGCCACGGGGGAGGCCCTGGATATTTGGTTTTATCACCAAGAGATTTTCACTTGACCCAAGATTTTGTGAAAATCACCAAATTTCCCAGTGAACATTTATATTATGCTCCAACAAGAGTCCACATGTATTATGTATAATATAACAACTGTGAAATTCAGAACTGAGAGGCCTGTCATTCCAACAGCATGGGAAGAAAAGTATTTTAGCTGCATCCAGGATATTGAAATGGGAGTTCTCGAGGCATAATGCTCATATGGAAAACAGCATTGCACAAGTAACTATCATAAAGTCTTATATCCCAGAACTTTGAGGAGAGTATGAATGGAATTTACACATTTCCTTAAGAACAAACCTATTGTGAAAGGAGTTATTAAAATTCTTCAAAGTACATTGTATATGCTCACCATGAACCTCATTACTATCACCAGTCAACAGATCAATTTTATGCACCTCACTCCAGCAGTATCTATGTTTCAACTAAGAAGAAATTTCTCAGGTTTCTAGGAAACTCGTTCTTGACCTTTCATGTGAAGTTTTCTTAAGTCTGAATGATATCGTGTTAAAATGCAAAGAGCTGGTTTGCAAAATGTTCTTTACATTTTCAGTTTCATCTCTAGACACTGAAAAAGAACACAAGCCATGTGAGACCATAGTTATGAGCCTTCCAAAAGATTATCTAAAAGTCTCTGAGAGGTCTTTTAATCAACAAGTCTAAGTTCAAGACAGACATGCAGAGCCACTGCCTGAAATACACTATATTAAAGATACTTTCTAAATGTTTCAGACTACTGCTGTCCAGATATGGAAAGACTATCTTGAAATAGCCAAAATGTCCTGAGTGCTGTGTGATCTGCAGCCCTGGCTCATAGAGTCTGTGATGGAATTCATGGTCTGTAATGCATTAATAGACTGGTGTAGGGAGCAAAGCCATGCTTATAGGTCATTATTTTTAATT